AGCTGCCATATACTTTCCAGGACCCCAGGGTGAATGAATGTAACTCCTTTACTGCTGCAGACCTGCATTGGCAGTCTTGGAGCAATGCTAAGCCCCAGCTTCACATTGCAAACAATCCATGTGTACTGGGACATCTCAAACACAAACATCTTCGTTTTAAGCTCAGGACAAATCCCATCCACTTCGCAGCTTTCATTTTTATGGCAATCAATGGGGCTGGAAGACTCTGGTCTGCAAGTAATTCAGCGTCGGTATCCCATCTACCCCCCCCCCCCCCTTTAAAATAGAGGCGACTGGCCCCCCACTGAAAATAGTCTCAACTGTGATATATACATATAGTATGAATAAGCCGCGACTCATTCTCCCCCAAAAAATGTCCGCACGTCGCTAGAGTGTTTGGGTTTCGCTGGAAGTAAAGGTGGCAACCCAAACCACGCCCCCCCCGTTGTTCGGTGTGTATCTCTCCTCCTCCCCAACTCACTCCCCCCTTGGGAGTCTGCTGGATAAAACTTACGTCTCCCCTCCAGCAGCTGCGCTCATCTTCTGGCAGGTTAATGAAAGCTCCTCCGTCTGAAAAGAAAAAAACCTTCCTGCACGTACGTGGTCAGGAAGGTACCAAGTGCAGGGGGGGGGGACCATAGTAATTGCACCGCACATATTAAACTAAAAAAACAAACATCTTGCTTGGAGCCTGGGCCTCCCAGGCGTCACATACAATTTCTTTCCATGCCCATCTGATGGCAGCCCTGGCCGGGATTTGGATAGCGACCCCCCCATTCACTTGCGCGACCCACACTTTAAGAAGCCCTGCTCTATAGAGGGTGCCATTCTGCATTGCTGCAATGCAGAATGGGACCTGCTATATGGAAATACCAGCTGTACTTTATACAGCAATGCCATCAATTGGGCTACAAAAAATAATAATTTTATTTATTAACTTAACTTCACCTCCTCTGGCTGTTTCCTGGTGGGGAAGCTGCAGAAAACCACCATTGCCTCTTTTGAAACCAAATCCCTCTTTACTCCACACTTGCCCCTCTTTTTGGACAGATGTGTAGACTTCTACAATGAATGCCATACTTAACAACCAAAAGTGTAAAGATGATCATACAATGTATGAATTTCGGACAGTTCCTGATGATCTGGCACAAATTTGTTTAGTGGGTACCCACTCAGCATCGTTTTATCTGGCATCCTTCAATCAGAAAATCAAAGGAGCCGGATAAACATTTTCGGACGAGCAGTGACGGAAGCTAATCAGCTGCCATCACTGTTCAGGGGATATTCTAACAGCAGCTCACCCACTGCTGTCATAATACAAAGAACACAGCGGGAGGGTCATCCATCCATGCTGTTTAGTGTGGATGGGGAAATCTGATATATTTTTTTTTTCGTTCAGTCTGCAGGTTGAACAAAAAAAATAAATATAACAGTGTATGTCCAGCTTTATGCTACACTAAACCTTTCACACAAACCTTTTTATTTCACGTTATTAAATAAAAAGCCAGTATTAGGGAAAAATAGTGATCAATAAAGCACCTGTGGGTTAAGCCAATCATTCATTATGTGCTTATTAATTCTTCATGATCCAGGTAACTGGAGGCATGGCAGGGGGTGTCCTTTGCCTACCCACTTTGTGCTAAAGTTTGTCCCACTTTCCATCTCATCACATCTAATCACATATGTGTGCGTGACAGTATATGCCTTATGTCCGTGGTAGGGAAAGGGTTGAGTAAAAACGATGAACAGGCAATGGACAGTTTTTTGACTACCAGTAAATAAGATTTAAAGCAAACACTTGATGTAGCTGCAGGTACTGTGGGGTAGTTTATCCTCAATGTTCACTGCACTAAACACTTACTTACATTTCAAAATCCCAGCTCCACCTGCCAGCAGTGATTCCGCCTGCAACTATTCTAATCCCTAACGTAAGTACAGAGCAGGAGCTCAGGAGGAGTGGGAGTGCTGAGCCACAACTTTACTGTGTCCCTTGTGAAATTGCATAGTGAATTTCCTGCAGTCGCAGAGTGCCTGCAGTCACAGAGGCTGCACAGTAAGGCCTATTTATTGCTTATTAAAGCGGAACTCTGGGGATTTTTTTTCTTAACCCTTGCAGTGGGGTGTCCCCCTGTACCGCAAGTGTTAAATGCTCGTTTTTGTCTAGGTTCAAAAATAACAACGTTATACTCACCCGATCCTCGGAGACAGCTTGCTCTTGGACTGGTCCCTTCCGCCTGTCTCCTACTCCACTGCAGCAATGGTATGTCTCTCGATGTCCTCAAGTCTTTTACACTGTGTATAAAACATGATGACTCACAGGACCTCAGACCTATGCAGGGGAAGGGGGAGGAAGTCTAAGCAGGCCAGCTCATAGGTTCAAGGGGAATATAACTCTGTTAAAAAAAAATAGCACTTAACCTTTGCAGTGTAGGGGTAGCCCCACTGCAAGGGTTAAGAAACATTTTTCCTAGAGTTCTGATTGAATGATTTATGATTAATTGTGAAGAAATAAAACAAATTATTGCACTCCTTAGTGTTTCACAAAAAAAAGGTTTCTAAGTAAAGGTCATTCAAACAAATTGAAAAGCTTGAAATATATGGTATATTTTACTTTACATTTGTTACTTTTTTCCTAGATTTTTATCTTATCTGAGAACAAAGCAATTTTGTACACTTTTAAATGTGTTCCCTTTTATACGACATGTCAATATCACTGACTCGATGAATAAAATGTTGACTTGATGTATCTGTAAAAAAAGATGCTAGGCTTTTCCCGACATAGCTGGCAATGGGGTGCGGTGTTCTTTCACCACATGTAACATACAGCTTATACCTCTATGTGGAATGGAGCTTCTAAAGATGATAGTGCAGATGGCATCTACACCAAGTGCTGTAGGCCAGTGTAAATTGGCATCTATAATGGCTGAGCTGTGGGTTTACAGCCAGAATCTTCTAATGATGTAGCCAAATACTCACATTGTCCGATTGTCTAATAGCCAGAAACATTGGCAGTCCAAATGACAGAAAAACATAGCTATTGTGAGAAAGGCATTCAAAAAACATGAACACGAGAGAGGAAAACTGAACATGTACGTGTTTACACACAGTTTTACATACTCTAAATATAGGTAAAGTGATAACCAGGCTCATCACAGCTATCTTTACCTCACCTGGTGTGTGAGTTAGTCAGACACTGAGACTGTATAAAAGGCAGATGCTTGGAATATACATTGCTTTATTGATGCTGCTCTATACAATTAAAGGGAAGTTATAATTGTTTTGGGTCAAATTTTTTTTTAAATACCCAACCTGCCCTAAACAGCCAGAAGTATTTTTTTTAATTATTTAAAATTTTTAAATGATCTACATTTTAAAAGGATCAGTGCACTTTTTCTCCTCCACTATGCTAGTGCCCGCGACCTTCGCTCTCTGTTTACAATCTGGTGCCATGCCTTTATACCCCAGCCACGCCAGTGCAGTAGATTCACATAGGGTTCTATGGGACCCGAAGCCAGAGACAGCGCTAGAATGTAAACAAAAGCAAAGGTTGCGAGCACAAATGCAAGGTAAATATACATATGTATTTATTATTATATGTACTAAAAATATATATATATATATACATACACATACATACATACATATATACATATACACACACAAAATGTTTATTTAACAAACAGACATTTATTACATAACACATCAACACACGTAAAGGAGTCCCAGAGCACTATGGCTTTACTAAAGAGAGCACAGCAGAAGTTGTAATCTTTCAGACAGCCGAGTGAAAAACCGAGCCAAAAGGGAACAGAGCCGAACGACGTTCAGCTATTCACTACGGCTCAGTATGGCTGATTTCCGCCGTACGCAGAGGAACTTTGACTCAGCCGATCCAACATCTGGATCAGCTGAGCCGAAGCACCGGGAGCTCACTCTGCCGTTCACCCCTATTCTCGTAGTGGCCAAACGGCAGTGAGTGAATAGCAGAATGCCGCTCGACATTACCTCAGAGGTACCGAGCAGAATAGAAGATCAGTGAAAAGAGTGACAGAAAAAAAAAGTTGAAAAAATATTAAAAAAATGTAAACAAATTGTAACATTTAAAAAAAATTAAGATATTTTAAAGAAAAGAAAAAACAAAATTGAGGGGAGCTAGCGGTGACTGTGTCCTATTGGCCGGCACCCGCTAGAGTCTCCTAGCAGGTCCCAGCCAATAAATAACAATTGGGCAGCGCCGGCTATGACATCACGGACGACTCCGCCGAGTTGTTATTTCTTAATGACAGATCAGCGTCCCCAAATGGTCATTTGGGGACGCTGATCTGTCATTACAACTGGGCAGAGCGAGCTGCGAGAACACAGCTGGCTCCACCCAGCTGTCATTTGCGGGGCGAACGGCCGGCCTTTCAGCAGGCCGCTGTCACTTCGGCTCAGTCGAGCCAAAGCATATGCCTTTGGCTCGGCTGAGCCGCTCGGCCGCTGTATGGTCTACTGTGAATAGCCTTTACAGCAGCCCTTCAGTTCGAGTGAACCAAAGGGCTCCAGCGGCCGAAGAGATTAAAATGATTAGAAATGTAACCCCACAAAAAAAAAATTGTTTTGGATCGATTCGGATTTTCATTTTGGAAAGAACCACAACAGGAAGTCACATGACCGTGCCTGCAATGCATACCCCAACAGCCAAAAATAAATATCTGCTTGCCCAAACAACGTCACATGTCCGATTTAGTTTCATTTTGAACGAAATTCGGAAGGATCTGAATTTTCGTTAAATGTACATTTGGATTTGTTCGCTTTTGGACGTGTTCAAATTCGGAAATTCATATGCATCGAATGTCTGAATATAACAAAATTCATACAAATATCCATTGTGAACTAAATGAAATTTACATGTCTAGAGTTTATTCTACACATTAATAGGATAGGATCCAGCCATGTATGACCATATTAGGCCTAAATACAAATTTAATGAACGGCTTACAAGACTAAATTTTATTTACCAATGTTAGGATGCTTCAGAAGACGACAAATTCTTGCTTCACGCTCCAGCTTCTGGTGATCTGTTAAAAAAAATAAACAGTTTAGGATCAAGAATCGTAATACCATTAGGTGCAGCTTAACGTTTTAAAACTGGTGTGTACAGGTCAAGCCACGTGTATAATCACCTGACCCGTGGGACCTAATTTTATTTTAATAAGCATAGATCTCCCCATCCCTAAAATGTTTTAGTCTACCACAGCAAATATACAGTAGCGGTTGGTTTGTGTGTCTTTTTCTTTGCTGGTACCAGCCCATATAATTTTAAAACAAAGTAATGTTCCACTCTGGTAACATACACATCATGATCTGGAGGAGTTGATTCTTTGGGAGGGGACTCATTTTTGGATGGATCCTGTACTAAAACACTTGTATGAAAATAAAGGGCACACAAGTCCACATATAAGAATAGCATACACATACACAGATACACGTCATGATCTGGAGGAGTTGGTTCTTTCAGAGGGGACTCATTTTTCGAAGGACCCTGTTCTGAAACATTTGTATGGAGACAAAGGGCACACAGGTCCACATATAAGAATAGCAGCTGACCTGCACGCTTGCTGCCTTCTTACATAGTTAGTCAGGTGGAAAAGACACATGTCCATCGAGTTCAACCTATAAGGATTCTTGCTATGCTCATGCTAATCTGTACACCTGGTATGTCAGACAGGTACCTTTGGGGGTAATAAATTAAAAAATAGGTTTGTAAAGATTTTCTTGCCTATAACTATAATACAATCTTTGAATTTCAACCAGAGTGCAATTTCTTCAGTAATGGAATATGGAGACAAGTAAAGACATTTAAATCATCCATTCTATTAAGGAAGGCACAGTAAACAATACACCTGTCTATCTGATGCCCTGACAATCCTTACAGACAAGAGTACGACTGATAGGAAATCTACCATTGGCATGGACCCATAACAATACCTGGACACCCCCCGAGAAAGTAATAACAGAGGTAATAATATCTTGAATATTAAATAATGAAATTATGTATAACAGTCACTGTAATGACTTATAGACATATAAATCTATCCGATAAGACATGAGAAGAAGAGCTCAACACAGGAGTCTACAAAAACAAATCAGTATACATCTCTCAGTGGTGTTATTAGCGTGAACTAAAACTGATTAAAGGCACTGAGTTTTAGGTATTTCTCCTCCTCTTCACACAACAGTAAACAGGGATAATGCAATTCTTACATAAAAGCACATAACTGATTAAAGCACATCTCTCACTTTGATAAGCAAAACCCTTTGAAGGAGAAGTATGTAGTCTGCTGAAGAAAGAACTGCTTTTTAGTTTGTGTAATTGTCCTGTTCTTTCTATTTTACATAATATAATGCCTAAGTTCCACTGTCACTGGGGGATTCTACTTCAGTAGCTACACAGAGTCCGGTCCCAGCACTGTTTTTCTTCTATCAGTGCTCTTTACAAAAGGGTGAAGAGTTTGGAGAAGGCAGGGAAGTGAACAATTCAGGTCAACAAAGCTGAACTGGAAAGTGAACTGTATTGGAGAATTTTTTTTGTGTCCCAGATTGTCACTTCCCCTGCCTTCTCCAAATGTTTTGCCCTTTTCTGAATAACTCTGCATATCTTGCCCCAGGACACATGGCAGCAGTGAGATGGCTCCTACATAGCTCCACAGAGCTTTCCTGTATGACAGGGATGGCTGAACTCCGGCCCTCCAGCTGTGGTGAAACTAAAAATCCCATGAAGCGTCTCTCTCCGGGAGTCATGTCTGTGAGAATCTTGCAAAGCCTCATGGGATTCGTAGTTCCACCACAGCTGGAGGACCGCAGTGGCCATCCCTGCTGTATGATATAAAAGTCAGTAAGGACTGGAAGCTTCAACGACACATTCAGATTTACACAAGTAGGGAGTATGCTCCTATTTCCCTGTCTGCACTCCCTCTCAGTGTTCACTCCCCAGCACAGCTGTTCTTTGCAGAAGAAGACCTTTTTATTGTCAGATGAACTGGAAGCTTCCCACACATAGAGAAACTCCAAGACAGGGTAGGCAACTCCAGCCCTCCAGCTGTGTTTTAACTACAAATCCCAACAAACCTCTGTCTCTGGAAGTCATGCCTGTAACTGTTAGTCATGCAATGCCTCATGGAACTTGTAGTTTCTCAAAGGCTGGAGGGCCGGAGTTGCTCACCCCTAAGGCCTCATTCACATGGAGCGATATGGGATTCCTGAGGCAGGACCCTACAGATTCCTGAAGAGAGGAATCCCAGATGTCCTGTTTAGATGCGACTGCAAGCCAGCAAGTTAATCACCGGGTGACAGTGGCCGCATCTGTAAGTGGCAATCCGCATCCGTGATATGATTACATGCGGTTTGTAATAGATGACTGTCCCTGGGTGCATCAATCCTGTGTCCAGGGACAGTGATCTTTTTCAAAAGCACAGGTAACTGTACCATGTATGATTACGTGGACTGCCGCTTACAGATGTGGCTGCTGCCACCCTGTCCCTTGAACGGTTAAAACGGTCGCATCTAAATAGGACGTCTGGCATTCCTGACGCAGGAATCCCAAATTGCTCTGTGTGCATAAGGCCTTAAACTTACCACACTACACACCACAATCCGACTGTGCGTACAAGTCCCTGGAGGAATTGATGCTGTTTTAAAGGCAAAAGGTTGACACTCCAAAAATTGTTCTGATTTATAACAGCCTAAAACCATATAACTGTGGTTAGCTCTCCTAGATGTTTGGAACAACCTACCTGCTGAGTTTCTACTTCATTACTTTTTAGGCTCCTATTTGATACATAAAGACAATTTTTAAAAATATTTTTGAAAGTATCCTCACCTTACAGCATTGCAGTTGTAAAGTGACAGAAAAAAAAATCAATCATTTCCATTCCAGTGGGTGATGGAGTGTTCTTTTGAGTTAACTGTAAAGTGTTCTTTCATAAAACCAGAAAGGAGCGTTCCTCCTTTTACCTTTTCAACATATCCCATTAGGGAAACTGGTCTGCTCAAGACAAGCTAAACTGCATATAATACCACACCGCCAACATTTTCACTAAAAGCTAAAGCATAGGTCACTAGGCAAGCAAATTAATACCATAATATGCAGTCATTATTTCTAAAGGATAAAATAATCACTGCACAAGACGACCAAAAATCTAGCTACAAATAAGAGCCTTTCCTTTTCACAAGAAAACAAATCTACCAACACAAGTCTGCAAGTTTCTCTTCTGTTTTTTGTTTAATACCAGGGACTATGTATGCATCTTGTAGAGCTGCAGTAATCTTAAAAATGCTACCTATTCTCATGGGAAACAACAGGATACAAATGTAAAATATGATGCCATGGTTTAATATACAATTTATAAGATATACAACTTATCAACACTATTCATTTTGCCTCTCTGTGTTACATGAAAGACTTAAGAGATTATAATAGTTTGGGGACAATTTTATTGAAAGCATTAAAAAGGCCTTGTGATTACTTGTCCTTTTTTTAGGGAGATTAGCATTGGTGCTACAATGAATAGTAATCAATAGGCTTAGGATGAAATAGTGCACTTAAAAAATATTATTACAAATTATAGAGATTGCCATAATCATGCTACATACTTTGAGCCCACTCTACTAATACCAGTGAAGCAGTGAGCTTGTTAATCAGCTCTGAGCTAATGTGTCTACCACAGGTGGAGCTACTTTGCTCCTACTGGGTATTAGATAAGGGGAAGGGAGGTATTTCTAAAATTGGAGCTTAAAGTGATATTCAAATCAAAAGGTAGACTATTTCAAATGCAGATTGGATCACTTACAATGGGTGCTGCTCCTTCATTTTTAATTTTTTTAGTTTCCTGAAGAAATAACAGATTATCTGAGCACTGACCCTGATATTCTGATATCCCTGATAGTTACTATTAACTATCAAGCAACCAGAAACTACAGTTATCCGGCAACTACCGATCCCTATGGGTGCTGGATAACTGGGAGTTTACTGTAGATGGATGGCTGCTGGAGACTGTTCTGTTCCTTGTGATCTTGTACTGGACAGGAAGTTTGAGGAAGCTGAGCGGAGAGAGTTGGAGACAACTGTTCAGAAACATGACCTATATTTTTTATTTTTTTTGGGTGGGGGAGCAAGTAACTTTTTCTGCAGGTACTTGCTTTCACTTCTTTGCCCAACTACAGCCTGCTGAGATATACACCACACATCCCAGAAGGGTTGTATGCCATAAGTCATGCTTGTGCATACACAGTAGGGGGCTGGATGTCAGGCATCATGAAGTGGCCACAAAGGCAAGATGGTGGTACAGAAGATCAGAAGACCCTGCAAAGAATTGAGTGCAAGGACGTTCCTATTTGAGTGAAGGCATTTTGGTTTCCCTGTGTGTGCAGTAACTGACCCTATGAGAAGACTATGGCTACAATGCTGAAGTGTGGAATCAGAATTTGTGTGGAATCAGAATTTAAGTGAAACTGTTGTTTCGAGACTAAGCACACTAAGGAATTTATAGTGAACAAGTCTGAACAAGCAGTAAAAACACTGTAAAACAAGCCTTGAATCACCTCTGTAGCTACAGGCATTATGGAGAACATTGTCTTCAAATTTCACAATAGAGGCATAGAACTCTTAAGTTAGTTGCGCACCATTCACATTATGTTATTGAACACTTTGTTAGACAGTCCATTCAAAATTAATGAATGGGCTGGCAATACACCTGAATGGCCTGGAAAAAAATGTGACTTCCCTAGGTGTATACATTAAAAATATCAATTTCACTGTCCCACCAGCAGCAGAGTTATATAATAGAAACAATGCTCCCTCCAATCCATAACTCAGCAGTTGTCCAGCTTATTGTATCTGGAAATATTAATCCCTATTCCAAAGCGTCCTTTTTTTTTTTCTCCTCCTATTCTATAGTTCAATGAACAGACAAACATTTGCAAGTATAATTTAATGTTGAACTCAAAAGGTTAATTGGAGGTCAACATGGAAAATGCTTCCGATGTTGCAAAAAAATAAAAATAAATGCATTTGAACAGA